AAAGATATCATGATGATCATGATGATGACCATGTTACTACTGCTACTTGTAATGATCTTGTTATTCTACATGATCATGAGCCTATTAATCTCGTATCAGATGAGAGGATGTGGATAGTTGATAGTGGTGTTACAATGCATGTTACACCAAGGAAGGATTTCTTCACATCTTATACTTCTGGTGACTTTAGAGTGTTGAATATGGGTAATGATGGTGTATCTAAGGTAATTGGTGTTGTGATGTTTGCTTGATAACCAATATAGGAATGCAATTGTTGCTTAGAGGTATTAAACATGCTCCAGATATCCGCTTTAATTTGATCTTTGTGTATATTCTTGATGATTGTGGTAATGACAATCACTTTGGTTCTGGAAAGTGGAAACTCAACAAAGGTAACTTGGTTGTGGCTAGAGGGGAGAAGATTTCTAAATTTTAGTGGATAAGGCTTTTGTTGCTAGGGACAGTGTGCATGTTATCCACATGGAAGCATCTTTATGGCATCGAAGACTTAGTCATATTAGTGAAAAGAAGCTGAATGTTTTGGCCAAAAAGGATGATCTTCCTGGACTAAAGAATGAAAATTTGGAGAAGTCAAAGTTGTTTCAATTGGTACATTCTGATGCTTGTGGGCCAATAAAGGTAAAATATTTTAGTGGTGCATTTTATTACCTTTATTGATGATTGTTCCAGGAAACTATGGGCTTATGTCTTGAAGACAAAAGACTAAGTGTTGGATAAGTTCAAAGAATTCTATGTTTTGCTAGAGAAGCAGACAGGCGAGAAGATGAAATGTGTTCGTTCTGATAATGGTGGTGAGTATGTGGACCATTTGATGCCTATTGAAAACAGCATGGTATTGCACATGAAAAGACTCTTCTTTAAACTCCTCAATTGAATGGTTTAGAAGAGAGGATGAATCGAACACTAATTGAGAGAGTAAGGTGTATTCTCTCTAAATCTAAGTTGCCAAATAATTATTAGGGTGGGGCACTTTACATGGAAGTGCATATTCTTAATCTCACTCCTACGGTTTCTTTGAACAGTGAAGTTCCATACAAGATTTGGTTTGGAAAGAATGTCAAGTATGATCATTTGAGAGGTTTTGGTTGTAAGGCTTTTGTGTATATTCTAAAGGATGAAAGATCTAAGTTAGATGAAAAGTAAAAACAATGTATATTCATCGGCTATGGCCAAGATGAGTTTGGTTACAGGTTGTATGATCATGTAGGGAAGAAGCTTATCCGAAGCAGCGATGTAGTATTCATGGAAGACCGAAGTATTGAAAACATTGATAAGGTAGAGAATATTACACCCAAGAAAGATATAAATTTGTCTAATATTGATCCAATTTGGTTACTTAATCATAATCTAGATGTTATTGGTGGTGATGATCAAAATGGAGAGCCATATTATTATGTTGATAATCAATAACTTAGAGATGAGGTAAATATCCCAACTAATGATGATGAATGGGGGGAGTGATATTTCATAGGGTGAGAATCTTGGTGAAGCTCCAAATTCATCTCAAGTTTAACTTAGGAGGTCTATCAAGAAGAGATAATATTCTACAAGGTATAATTTTGATGAGTATGTGACATTGACTGATGAGGGTGTACCCAAGTGTTTCCAAGAGGCCATGGAAAGTGATGAAAATAAAAAGTGGTTGGATGCAATGTATGACGAGATGAACTCATTGAATGATAATCACACTTATGATTTAATGAAATTTCCTAAAGGTAAAAGAGCTTTGGAAAACATGTGGACTTATATAGTTAAACATGAGAGCAACTCTAAGTCTCCAAGATATAAATCTAGATTAGTGGTGAAAGGTTTCCTTCAAAGAAAGGATGTTGATTTTAATGAGATTTTCTTACCTATTGTAAAGATGTCATCAATCAGAACCATGTTGAGTTTATCTGCTACTCTTGATTTAGAGGTTGAGCAAATGGATGTGAAAATAGCTCTCCTTCATGGTGATTTGGATGAAGAGATCTACATGAACAACTAGATAGTTTTCAAGTTAAATGCAAAGAAGATCATGTTTGTAGATTGAAAAATAGTCTATATAGGTTGAAGCAAGCTCCAAGGTAATGGTACAAGAAGTTTGATTATGTTATGTGTGATCAAGAATACCAGAAGACTACTTCAGATCATTGCGTCTTTGTTATAAAAATGTCTAGTGATGACTTTATTATCATGTTGTTATATGTTGATAATATTCTTATCGTAGAGAAAGTATTTCTACAATTAACAGGTTTAAGAATCAGTTGGGAGAGTCATTTGCCATGAAAGACATAGAAGCAGCTAAATAGATTCATGGCATTAGAATCATGCATGACATAAAAATAGAAAAAACTTTAGATGTCACAAGAATATTATATCGAAAGAGTGTTACAAAGATTCCAAATAAAAAGTTCCAAGGCAGTAAGCATTCCTCTTGATTATCATTTCAAGTTGAATTCTAATCAAAGTCCTTCAAGTGAAGATGAAGCATTTGATATGAAACATGTTCCTTATGCTTCTATTGTGGGTAGTTTGATGTATGCAATAGTGTGTACAAGACCAGATATATCATATGTTGTTGGTACAGTCAGTAGGTTTTTGTCAAATTCAGGTAGAGAGAATTGGAATCATGTAAAATGAATTTTAAGGTATCTTCGTGGTACTACTTGTATGAGGCTTTTCTTTGGAGGAGATAAGCCTACTTTAATGGAGTACTCTGACTCTGATATGGCTGGAGATATTGATTCCAGAAATTCCACTTTGGGCTACATGATTAAATTTTCATGGGGGGCTATGACTTAGTAGTCTAGATTACAAAAGTGTATAACATTGTCTATTACAGACGCTGAGTTCATTTCCGTTATCGAAGCATGCAAATAGTTACTTTGGTTGAATTTTTTTTTGCAGGAGCTTGGTTTCGTTCAAGACAAATATGTGTTATTTGTTGATAGTCAAAGCGCTATTCTTCTTGGTAAGAATTTAATTTTTCATAATAGGTCTAAACACATTGATGTGAGATATCATTGAATACATGATGTTTTGGATGCTAAGTTGTTGGAGTTGGCTAAAATTCATATAGATGATAATGGTTCTGATATGATAACTAAGGCATTATCAAGAGAAAAAATTGAAGTTTGTTGTGATATCGCCGGTTTAGTGATTTCCTCCACATATTTGTGAGGGGAGATTTATTGGACTTGGACTCCCTTCCTATATGGAGAAATACCTAAATATGAATATCCCATTTGTCTCACTTATTTAAGTGGAGAGTGTCAATTTATAGTAGAGAGAAATAGAGAGAAAATAGGAGAGAAACTCATTCTCGTTTTTTACACCAGTCTCACTAAATCGACGATCCTCAATTTGTTCACTGCTGGATTGAGCTTAAATTTGGTGGGCATGTTTGTAACACATGTATATAAATTTTGACCGTTCATAATTTCAAAAGAAGTTATGAGTTGATAGATATCCTCTTCGCACTGAAGCTGCATATTTGAGGGATTTTTCAACTTTTTTATTCTTATTTGTAAGTTAGTTTGCTTTGTGATTTGCGGTTGTTATCACTATTTTGTGAATCACTTTAAGAATCTTGTATTCTCAATTGATTATAGTGGAATTATTTGTTTGGTCTGGACAACTCGTGGTTTTTACTCTCATATTGAGGAATTTTCCACGTTAAAAATATCGGTGTTCTTTTGTGCCTTTATTTGTTCGGTTTGTCGTCTTATATTTTTTGTTGATCCTTAAGGTTCCTACAAGTATGGGGAAATATATATTTGCTGCGTATTATTATGTTATTTTGTCTTAATTTACTCAAGCAAAAGCTCTTTCATCCACATACACTTGTACCGTTGTTGTGAGCACTACAACGAGACACACTGTCTAACCATCACATTACCATGAAGAGTTTTGATACAAGGAGTTGGTCCCTTAATTGAATCATCAACTTTGATACCATTGTTGGTTCCTCATGAGTAATGTCCATATTGGGTCAAGAGCAACATACAAGTGAAAGAGACAACATATATTCACTCAAAACCTTAAGGTGATGGGTGTATGGATCCTCTCACTTATAAAATGCTCAACCTTCACTTTTCTAAGCAATGTGGGACTTCCAACTCACACTTTTACACAACAAATGATACTTGGGAAGTTGTTGAAAGGAAAGAAGGCAAGAAGTCAGTTGGATGTATATGAATCTATATTGTAAAGCACAAATCATATGACACTCTTGATCGTTACAAGGCAAGACTAGTGGCAAAAGATTATTCTCAGACATATGACATTGATTACAATGAGACATTTTCCCCATTAACAAAGATGAATAACTTTCGAGTCTTAATATCTCTTGTTACTTACTATGGATGAGAATTACACAAAATTGATGTTAAAAATGGATTCTTGCATTGAGACTTAGGGGAGGAAGTGTATATAGAGATTTCACATAGTTTTAGCATCACGAGTAGAGCCAACAAAGTGTGTCAATTGAAGAAATCCTTGTATGGACTAAAATAGTCTCCTCGGACATGGTTTGAAAGATTCACAAATAAAATGTTGTGTTTAGACTATAAACAAAGTCAGAGAGATTACACTTTTTTTTAAACATAAACATGGAGCAGAGTGAATTATACTTATGTTGATGATATTATTATTACATGAGATAATTTGAGTGAGAGACAACTACTTGAAAAGAAATTATCATCAAAATTTAAAATAAGGGAATTTTGAGAACTCAAGTACTTCTTGAGAATTGAGACAACCCATTAAAAAAGACATTTTTACCTCAAATAATATGTGCTTGATATTTTACAACATTTAAAAAATATGAAAAATGATTAGAATGTTAGAAATATTTCCTATCAAATACATATTTACTGCATAACCTGTAGTATATGAAACAGCAGAAATGAGAAAAATCATCATAACAATTTCATATTGCTGATAGATGTAAGACAATATAAATTCTATAGCTTATGTGAAGATGGAATGAATGTCAACTATTTCAACCGTTGGCTCAGTTTCATATACAAGCCCTGCAAAACAAAAACCTATTAGATCACAGTAAAATGAAACACATATCAAATAAGACCAAAGTAGATAAACCTTACATTTGTTGTATGTATTGTCGCTCCGGTAGTCATGCCGATATTCTGATCAGGGACGAGCTCAAAGTTCATGTGCTGTAGAAAGACCGCAAGAGCAACGATAGCTTCCAATAAAGCAAACTGATCACCGACACACTTTCGAGGCCCTCCGCTAAACGGAATGAATCTGTAACATGTTTTTGATTCATCTAAATCTCAGTAAACTAGAATATACTCATACACTTATACATATACAAATACAAACACAAATGCATACCTGAAATCTGTATTTGTTTCATTTGGCACTGGACCATCCAAATCAAATCTTTCCGGCAAAAACTCTTCGGCCCTATCCCAAACGTTAGAAGAACGATGTATGTTGTATACCGAAATCATAATATCTTGACTAGCATTGATTTTGTAATCACCAGGAAGCTCATCGGGAACTTGAGATCTTCTGATCAATACCTTAGGATGCATAAAGGTATAGAAAACCATAAAAAAATAGTAACATATATAATCAAAGAACACCAAAAAGATACTACAAAATATTTTCAATCTCTCTGAAAGACATTCATACTCAAAATTATTGTATAGTATAACCTACGGGAGGATGTGGATAAAGTCGGAGTGACTCCATAATACAGCGCGTCAAGAACTTAAGATCTTTAATATCTTCATAGGAAGGACGCCTTCCCTGTAAAACTCTGTCTATCTCTTCTTGTGCTTTTGCTAATGAGGAAGAATCCTGCATAAATAGAGCTTATGATTCACAGGGCGCGAGCTTATGCTTCATTTATGATTGAAACTAAATTATGTTATACTCTATTAGATACCTTACTTAGAAGATAAAGTGTCCAAGTAAGCACCGAACCAGTGGTCTCGTGACCGGCAACTAACATTGACAAAAGATCATCCCTTAATTGCACACTTGAAACCTACTCATAAAGAAAAATATAAAGAAGCGGAAAGGAAAGTATAAAACCGATAAAACGAACCAAAGTATTGTAGTGTATTGTGAATATACAGTCAGTTGCCAAATAACATATTGATAAAAGTAAATTATACATTGGTAATAGAAATACAGCATACCTCTTCTCTGCTAGCAAGCAAAAACCGGAGAATACTAGGATCAGCATCGTTCACATATTCATCAGCATCGATTCTTTCACCCTCAGACTCTACAATCTCTTTACATTTCGCAATAAGATCTTCTACGGTTTCCCTAATAACACTAACAGCCTTTTCAGCCTTTATCTGTCTCGGTATTATCTTACAAAGAAAACCAATCTGCAGCAACAAAGAACGAGAAATAAAAGGCGTGAAAATTGACAAACACGGAAAGGGAGATGAGAAAAGAACTTTCCTTCCAGTAAGGTAAAAGATCGGTTGACCGAGCCTCTGCTTCTTTCAGTGAAGTGTAAACAGCTTCAATAACAGGACTGTCTGAATTCAGTGCGTCAAAGTTATAGTTGAATACAGATAAACCGATAACATCAAGGGTCAACTGGGAAAACTTGTCCTCCATGTTAACAGCAGTTCCATTAATTGCATCAGGTTGTAGCTTCTCTACTAATCTCTCAGCACATCTACTGAACACTCTATCTACCATAATCGACAAGTATCGTTTGTGAAGTGATGGAACGACAGCCCTGCGTCTTGCCTAATACATACAAGGAAATTGCTATAAAGAAACTCCGGTTGCCCAAAATAACATATAAAACCATTACTTGAAGCACGACTAGTAACAGTAATTGATCTTTAAAACCCAAGAGAACCAATTCAACGATAAGTACGAATTCAGCTATTATGCGAAGGGTAATTACTCCATTCAACAACTCATTGTATACATAATGTTTCATCGATCCAACCATTGAATTAAATTTATTATTGAGTAGTCAAGTCCACAGAATTTCATAAATTTTAAAACTAAATGATACTTCATCAAATATCTTAAATAGCTACGAAAAGTATACCGTCCAAAGAGGCCCTTCAGCAATAGCAAAACCAGAGCCAAACAAAAACTCAGAGACCTCAGCGACAAGACCTTTCCCATATTTCCCATAATTCTTAAGCACATGTTTCGCAACAGCGGGATCACTAACAACAACAAAATTCCTCGGACCAGCAGCCAACCGATAAACAGGACCATACTCATTCATCCACTTAAACAAAGGAAGAAAAAGAGCACCACCCAAAAGATCAGAAACATCATCAAGCTTAGCACTAGCTACAGGAATGCCAGAATCATCTTTTGCTGTGGTTAGAGACTTGGAGAGTGAAGTGAGCCAATCTGGACTTACCCATGAACTGGTTTTGGTTGTCGTTTCTGGGGTTTTGTTGGTTGAGGATTTGATGGAGAGACGGTGGTGAAGTGGATAAGGTTTTTTAGGGGAGGGGGAAGAGGTGAGTGGGGTTTTGGAGAGGGAGGAGAGAGAAAGATGAGAGAGAGGGAGTGAACATGGCATTGTTTTGGGTGTTTGAGTTTGGATGTTGTTCTGTGACGGTTTTGCAGTTAAACGAAACGATGATGTTTATTTATTGATTTTCCTTTTTTAACCCTGTTAATGCTAGGATAGGAGAGACAAGTATAATTTTCAATTTCTTTTTATCATGAACCATACTCCATTGATTTAAAATAATTGTTGATCTGCATTGGATTTACACTTGCTCCTCGAGTAGGAAGCTTAAATCAATACCTTTGCATAAGGTTCAAATGGACAACTCAAGTTAGGGACCGTTGAGCAACTCCCTACATATTCGTTGGGAAACGTGGTCCACGTCCTCATGTCAGTCATCTTAACTGTCCTCCGAGAATCACGGGTCCAACCCCTATTCTCGCGGAGCAGTTGACCAGGAGGGAGTCCACTTGCTGGACTCCATACACACGTAAGCCCTGGCAGTTTTCGTTATTGGGCTTCAACGTGGCCCAATAATGAGAACCTTGACCCAGCGCCGGGGGCTATAAATACCCTATCTTCTGAGAGGGTCAGGTATTCAACAGTTTCTAATTCATACTTGTTTGCTCATTCTGAAACTCACTTTGGCATCAAAGTGTCTTGTAGGTATCCCCCCATTTCACTCTGAACTTCTGCTCGAGCTAGTTGTGACGGTATTCTGGTCAAGTACGATCAGTGGCGCCATCTATGGGAAACTTTCTTCCTCATCTTCCATTTACTCGAGACTAAATCTAAATTACTCTTCCGACTGTCATGGCTGATCAAACAGCAGAAAACAACATGAACGCCTGCATCGCCGACGTCAACAACAACGTCGACGAAAATAATGTCGGCCTCGACAACGCTGGTACTGTTGGCCACAACACGGCCCCCACCATTAATATGCTCGGGCCTTCAGAATATAGAGACGGAGCAACTGCTTCATCATCATCACTATCTCAACGGCCTGAAGACGATCGACCACCTCTCTAGAACTACCAACCCGACCATTTCTGGGAGGTCCCTGTTGCCGCCGGAGCAGATGCCACGACCAAGGCACTGTTCGCGGCGATAAACCAAATGAATTATCTGATTTTCTCTCAAGGAGAAAAACTGAGGGGGCTCGAAGATGCTCGAAGATCCCCCAGAAGACATAGGAGGCCCCATTCTCCTCCTCCTCGCCAAGTAAGGGAACATCCCCAATCTCCCCCGCGGAGACGTAGGCGAGACGTCTCTCGAAGTCATTCTCCCCGACCAATCGGGCGACACCCCGCATTGGAGAGAGACCAGCCCGTTGACACGGGGAGATGCGGTCATATCCCCTCGCGTCAAGAACAAAGACCCCTTGGAGACAGGAGCAGGGAAAATAACGAACGGTCGTATCGCCCAAGGAACGCTCTGCGCGACCAGGGTCGCCATAACCACCATAATAGATCTCTTTCTCGCTCACCAGATAGGAGTGACGAAGACGACCCACGCGGTCTCTTGTCACAAGCCGTCATGGAGGCGCCCATCCCCCCGGGCATGGAGAAGCCTCCCCATCTGAAGGAGTATGATGGTATTACCGACCCAGTCGACCATATAGACGGGTTCGAGGCAATGCTGCATTATCATAATATCGGGGGACCAATCAAATATCGGTTGTTCCCAATGACTTTGAGGAAAGCTGTGATGGACTGGTACAAGAGTCTCGCCCCCGGGTCAATTACCTCCTGGAAAAATTTAAAGAACCAATTCATCACTTCGTTTACTGCTTCACGTCGACACCCGAAGACTGAAGCAGTCCTCGAGGCTATCGTCCAGAGACACGACGATACCCTGAGGGAATTTATTGATCGATTCAACCGGGAGGCCATCCAGGTCCCCTGCACCGATCACATGAAGAGATACCTTCTCGAGAGGGGACTCCTCCCGGTCACAGAATTCAGAAAGGCCGCTGGCATCGAACCATCCCGGACATTCGATGCCCTCCTCGAGAAAGCCAGAGCATACATGGACTACAAAGAGAGGGAAGTGGCCAATAGAGCCCGGGACCCCCAGAATCGTGGATCAACCAGCAATCCGCGACAAGACTCCGACCCTCCTCGACAAACTGGCGAGAAGAGGAGGAATGACAAACCCCGAGACCCTCGTGAGAAAAGAGGACCCTCGCAGAGGTTTACTGAGTACACTCTGCTAACGACTTCCCGCTAGCGTATTTTGGCGAAGTATACAAACACGAATTCCAAGGACGGCAGCATCAAGCGTCCTCACCCCGCTCCTGCTAAGCCCGGGGCAGATTGGAGCAAATACTGTCAATATCATCGGAGCCATGGACACTTAACTGAAGATTATGTTCATCTCAAGGATGCTATTGAGACCCTCATAAAAAGGGGAAAACTCTGGCAATATCGGCGCGGAAACGCTCCCCGTTGAGATGCCCGCGAAGCGTGGGAGATAGAGGAGGATTCCCAACCATCTGACGAGCCAGTTCCCATCCAGACCGCATTCTTTGTTACGAGATCAGAGGACTTCTACGTCCTCGAACACATGGAAGAGCCTTTGTCCATGCACAGCAGGTGGGAAAGCTTCCCCTCCACCATGGTCATAAATGGTGGAGGGTTCAATGACATAACTATAAATGGTGGAGGGTTTATTTATTGATTTTCCTTTTTTAACCCTGTTAATGCTAGGATAGGAGAGACAAGTATAATTTTCAATTTCTATTTATCATGAACCATACTCCATCGATTCAAAATGATTATCATTTAAACTTTTTACACACTGATTAAAAAATGTAATGATGTTGTTATAAATTATTTCACATTTATTAAACTAATTTTATTATTGTATTGGAAGAAGTGTAAAAAGTAATAATTGAAGAGCACAACTGAAAAAATAACAATGATTTCTATATTGAAAAGTGAGACTGACAATAAATTTGAATTTTTTTTAAAACGACAACTATTTTAAAACAGAAAGAATATGAAATAAAATTGCCTCATTTGATTGTCAAAATAAATTGTTAGATCATGCTAACACGTGCTAAGTTTTTAAGATTTAGAGTTTAAGGTTGTCAAAAATAAACTGACTTATAATAATAACAATAAAGTTGTTCTACAGAGGATGGAATAAATTTATCATTATTAAATTGTAAATAAGTAAAAAAATCTAATTGTTTTGTTACGGTATTGTTCCACCCTAAATTTCGCCCCTACATTTTTTAGTCGTATTATTATATCATATTTTATTATTTGGTCACAATCTGTAATAAACATTTTCATTCATCATTTTTTACATAATCAGTCGTATTTAAGTTGATCAAAAGTCAGTTTAACTCAACATTTGCATTGTTTTATAGTTACAAAAATACTCGTGATCTCATTTCATGCATTTTTTTATCTCTTTACATGTTTCTTGCATTACGTCAAGTTGTTTATATGTCTATAATATTGATATTTTAATTTTACAAACAAATCGTTAAAAGCAATTCGACACTATACGAAAAATTAGTGAGAAAATATTTTGAGTTTTCACCTTTAGTTGACTGTTTTATGAATCTACGTTTCGCATCGACCATGACTGTATGCTCGCTTTATTTTTTCGTTACAGTTTGAAGTCTCGTTCTTAATCGTCAACATTTTACAATTGGATATTTTCATTATCATTTTATTTCGATTTTGATCATTTGAGTTATTTTTTATTAATCCTTTTTATCTATAATTTATTTTAATGTGTTTATTTTTTTTTCCGGTTAATTTAATATCCATTTTTTATCGTTTTTGATAATTTTAAATGTCCATTTTTATTCCGAAAAATTAAAACAAAGCTACTCTTGAGTGTGTTATTTTTTAATTGTTCAATTTTTATATTGATTTTTTGTGATAAGGGTCATTTTGGGCATTTGATTAAATTGTTAAACCTGATGTTGATTTGTATATAATAGTGAGATTGGAAATTCATTAAAGAAAATGAAGAAAGCTGTGCAGGATCCCTTTCCATCTCACAATCCTCTTCATCTTTCCAACGAACCATCACCAACAACAGAATTGTACTCTCTTATTTCCTCTTCATGAAACTATCATCCGCAATCGACTTCCATATACCATCGGCTTCCGTCTCTTCCGAGACCTCACAGAACCCAATCTTCTAACTCGTATACTCACTTTCACTGTTAACTGTTAACCGTTATTTCCTCTTCCAATCTCAATAACCTGTTCACTATTCCGCATCACCATCAGCAGCTCTTCATCCTCCGCTAACATCACTGGATAATCATCATAACATACTCCTGCCTACTGTCACGATCTACTTCCGTCAAGTTCGTTGTGACGTCTCAGCTCAGTATCATCATTCAGTTGCAAACAACGCATCACAACGATTTCGTCATTATTGATAAATCTCGATTTCCTTTCATCAGTGGACTGATTTGTTTAAATTGTGTTTCTGTTCTCGGAAAACAAGTGGTTGAAGTAATTTTTGACTGAAACAAGTTTGTTATGCTGTTTGGCTGTGATATTTTCAAGCGAGAAGTTTGTTGCAATTTTAACTGATATTATGTTGGTTTGACAGTGGAAGTTTTGTTGCATTTCTGTTCATACATTGCATTTCTATTCATACATTTGTAAGATTTTTGGTTTGGAATCGGAAGAGAAACTTTGATGATACGATGATTATCGTTTAAAATCGGTATGTTGAAGTTGATAATGAAGTTTTTGGTTTGTCAATGTGCGTGTGATCGTGTTGCGAGGTTATTGTTTCGCTTGCTTTAAATTGGAATGAGATTTTGTTCGTCAATGATATGTTCACTTGATTTTAATTTGGTTGAAGTTTCAACATCATTACCATGATAATATGTTATTCTTGCTTGTGAGGGTTTGTTCATGCTTGAATTGATTTTTATTGGGCGATAACAATTTTACATAGTTGTTGCCCAGAATTCCATTTAATGGTTTAGAGCTTGCTTTGAACTCAAATTTTCAGTTTGCAATGTGAATTGTTGATCCTTGTTACATTTGTGATTGGAAAATCATGTTTATCGTTGTGTCTGC